AAAAAAAAAAAAAAAAAAAAAAAAAAAAAAAAAAAAAAAAAAAAAAAAAAAAAATCATTCAAGTAGCAAATTTGAATTAGCCTAATCCAAATGACCCTATTTATTATCGTGTACAACAAACATTGTTACACGTTACTCAATGGCTCTAAATACACAAGAAAACGAGGGGGGGTGGCGGAGTGCGAGACTTGATGGATCTTCCTGGGTGTAGAGTATCTTAAACAATAATGGGTTGTTTGTGGAAGTGATTACACTTTTCAATGAATCGAACATCATGGACTATCTTTGATCTAATGGTAAGAAGAAATTTCGATGCCATAGATGAAAAATATTGCAGGCTTCATTCAATATGCAATAACAATGTTGAGTACTTGATTGCTTGAAGGCTTGTGTCCACATAAAAGAATTTAACGTGGTTTAAACCCTTCTGAAATGGAAATTTTTATTTTAATACCCAAATTCGTAGTCACAATTGTTGAAGACCACTATTTAAGGTTACTGGCCAGTAGAGTGTGAGAGGTGTGAGGCGTTCGTGGAGGAAATTAAAAGGAAGCAGTTGCAAATTTTGAGGTGATTCCTCCTGATTGATGCTACATATTTAGGCATCAGAAAAGAGGGGATTGAGTTGGATAAAAGAAGTTTTACATTCCAGATATTAGAAAAGGAACAATTACTTTCAAAAAGTTAGTATATGCTTGAGAAGCAAAGGGGCTACAAGAGGAACCTCCGGTGGGAATGGGAGAACAGAGCGACGGAAAGAACACAGAGGATGAAGCATTAACTATAGAAGTTTGGAAATGTTGAATATATACTCCTCGACAATCCGAAAGTGCGAGGCCTTGGGGCGTTTTTATTATCACAAATTAAAATTCTCTTAAAAAATAGTGAGTCACTGGCGTGGGTAGCTCAACGACGAATGTGCTGAAAGCAACAGTGTCGGCGATTGACCCAGATTCTGTTTCAATGTTCAAATGATTTCAGCAAAAGGAATCATATATCTATGCATAAATATGGACTACCGTAAGGATATCCAAGGATATGAGGATAGTGTCGCACTACAATGCTGATCAGCATTCTGTAAAAGCTAGGTCTCCAACTCACGGACGGAGTAGTCAACGGTATTTTCATTTAGCTAAAAAGTTCCAAAATAGTTTTAGATATGTGATTGAAGTGGATAATGTTTAGCTTAAGAGATAGCCACAAAAAGGCTCTATGGCTGCATCTAGGTGCCCGTTCCCCATATCTTATTGATTTTTACAGAGTTTGGTATCATCTGACCTAGAAACAAAAATATGTTCAGGCAAAAAGAACTATAATTCTATGTATGAGTTAAGGAAGGAGTGTGGAGAGCATTAACAGAGTTGGGACATACAGATATGAGACATGTCCACTACTTTGGCAGTCACACCATGAAGATCACTTCCAGAGTATCCCTGCAGCACAAACAAATTACCGATGGTTGTTAGATGTAAGTAGTTAACAACTCAGCTCAACAGTGAGCCTCAATCGTCCATCGATGAACTGTGAAAATAAACAGCTATCTGATCCATCTACAATAGCTACCACACCATGTAGACATCGATCATAGGAACTTCTGCACTCTTGCGATTTATCACAAGAAGCCATGCAACACGGAACTTCTCCTTTCCAACTTGAAAGGATCCACACTCAAATAAGATGTATGCCACCAGATGACTCAAGAAATGTAATAATCCAAAAAACAGGATAAGATATTGTGACAAATACAAAAGCAATCCAGTGAACTAATAATACCTCCATTGTGTTCAATTTACCCTGAACCCTCCAATAAGTTCAGTTTGATAATATCACACTTATTATTTTATCGATTAAATCCCTAAATATTCATAAATGAATCAAATTAGACTCTTAATTAAGATTTCCTTTGAAAAGTTTTCATACATCTATTCTAGTAGTCTATTATGTTAATCTAGTGATCGTTTATGAGTTTAATTGATAGGATTATAGTTCATGTTTAAATTGACAGAACCTCCAAAAATTTGGACGCATACATTCATTTTTTTCCCAAAACTAAAGGTAAAATAAGGAGATAATGCGCATTAAAAAACCTGAAGGTTATAATCCGTAAACGTCGCCTACACTCTCATCGTGAGGGTCAACCACCTCCATTTCCACATAGAGGTGCGATGCAACAGTGTTAAGAACTTAGTAAGGGAAACAGTACGAACTCAGAGATAGATAGCAGGCATTAGAAAATATTGCAACCGTCTAAAATTTCAAAGACAGGCAAATGAAGAGGAGATATTTCAACTTCGGGTATTGGTTGTACCATACTACAAATAGTTTTATGCTTTTCCTTTGTTAAAATATATGTTTCAAGAAGAAAAAAGCGATGCAATAAATTTCTTCGTACAGCAGAAGAGATAACAGTATAAGAATGGAAATAAATAATCGAAACTACAGTGGAGTAAGAGTATCCTCAGCAGGTTGCTAGCTAGTAAAACGATTGGACCGAGTATATTATAATTCTCAATCCATTTTCGTCATCATAGGAAGAACTTAAGCACAAGGTTATTAGATTATGATATATATAGACACTTATTGTTCAGTTGTGTAGTCTTAAACCGTCAGTTTTAGTTCAAAATAATTCAGCACCCCTAGAAGTCGACGTAAAGTCAAAGAAATTTAAGCATAGCAGAAAATGAAGAAGCAATGTCGAAAAGATGGACAACACATACAACTCAATCGATGAATACCTCGCGATTGACGCCAGAAATTGGAGAATGTCGACCAATCACGATGTCCCAAACTGTTGTGGCCTGAAAAAAAACAAAATATGTATCTGAGAAAGAGACGAACAAGTAGTCGGAAACGAGAAGAAACAAAGAAGCATCCGTGAAAACTTGTGTGCGACAAACGAAAATAGGAAAATGAACCGAGTTGATACAGTCCTATCTTGCTCATCGGAACGATCGGAATCAGCGACGATAGCGAAACTATAAGCGAGAGAATTAGAGGTTGTCCCATCGACAACGGTGATGTTTGCCCAATCATTCGAAGAACTGGCGGTCCATAAAATCGGTTTCCCACTTGTCCCATTTGGAGTGGCGGGAATCCTTGCGACTTGGTCCCCGAGGGCAGGCCGAGAGTTAGTGATTGGGCCGGCTACTTTCGGGTCCAGATGGGTTTTTATTCGGACCATTCCAAGCTTGGCACGATTAAGTTCACCCATTGGTTTTGATTTCTGATTAATGAAACGCGTCATTATTATTATTATTATTATTATTATTATTATTATTATTATTATTATTATTATTATTATTATTATTATTATTATTATTTTAGTTTTAGTTAACAAAGAGTTCACGAGATGACACAGTTTCAAATTGGGTGTATGTTTTTTGTTAAAAATATATTAATTAAAATCAAACGCGGTTTTAGAAAGAAGAAGAGGGGGGGAAATTGTTATAAGCTAGTATGTCGTCCTTAAAAGTAGCGTCCAATATTTGGAGACATGCTGTTGTGCTCCTTTTGGTTTGCATGGTTTCCCCTACCCCGAATGGGATTGGTGTTCAAATTCTGACATTTTTTGTTTGTAATTATGTATTTTTGGCAGCAAATTTTTGGCCCTCTTTCACCGCCAGGGAAACGTTTGTGGTTTTGGATTTTTTTTCTTTTTTCGTGGGGCTTTGCCCATTTTCAGCCTACATCCAACCTCTCTTCAATGCCATTCCTAAACAAGCAACTGCCTTCTATCTTCTATTCTATCTACCTACCAATCTATCTACAAATATCATTTTAATTTTCTGTTTTAACCTTTGATCCTTTGACTTTGTACACACAAAATCTTACTCAAAATTCCTAAACTATCACCATTGTCTTAAATTTGGGTATAATCTAATTACGTCGTTTAAAACTTTCCACTTATAGCCGGAAAAGAAAAAGGGGAAACTTGCTTGGAAATAGATTTTAGAAAACCGTGCACAAGCTTCCAAAACAAAACAGCGTTTTAGAAACATGCATGTGAATGGTGACGTGGCATCGTCTAATTAATACCAACACAATAAATCCAATCGCATAACTTGCTGCCTTTGGTTTCTGGTCGTGCGAGAAATAGAAAGTAAAAGTTAGCCAAACTGTTGGAAAATAAGTGACAATGTACAGCCAAAAGCCTTCTTTATCTTCAGGGTATTAGATCTCCTAAGAAACGTCAATGTTTTCATTGATATATATATATATATATTTATTTATACATTTTGATGAGTTTGATTAATACATCAACAGCGTGCGTAAAAACATCAATATAAATAAATAAATAAATATTTTAGTTGAAAGATGATAATCATGATCTTTTTCCCCTTGAATTAGGTAATTAACCCCTCGTAATCAAAGCCAAGGAACCATGTGGACCCCATTTGCATTTGCCTTTAAGTTGAGCCATTTTTCTGGACCCTCAGCCCTGGAAGCCATCATCAAGCAGAGGCAAGTAACCAGGTGAGAGAAATAGTACTTGGATGGGAAATTATAGGTTTAGGCTATCGGATATGATGCCCAATTCCTGGTTTTACAAGCTCAAAGACATGGCCATTATTAGGCGAAGAAACCATAAAAAGGAGCCTTCTTCAACTTCCTCCACTCACCCACACCAGGTTCTTCTTCATTCTCACCCAAGAAAATCCCATCATTTCACTAGACAACTTGCTGCCGCCAGAGAATCTAGTAACTCCCCGGCTGACCCACCCAGAAAATCGTCCAAAGGAAAGCCGAGGCGAAGAGCTCCTGCCGCTAACGCCGCCACTGCCGCCGCTCGGACTTCACCCAGGTTAGTGGTTACTTCCTCCTCCGGCTGTAGCTGCGGGAGAACGGCCCTAGAATCGGTCACAGCTGGCTCGCCGCTTCCTCCGCCATCTCCACCAGAACTCCGGATTGAACCGCCTTTTTTAAGTCAATATTCCTTTCATGCTGAAGATGATGCCAGCGCCATCATTATCGAAAAGGGACACAAAACTTCAGCCAAAAAAATCAACGGCTCAGATGAAGAGTTGAAATCCCCGGCGCAGATTGATCTTCCACCAATCATTATAAGGTCATCCTCGTCCTCATCCAAGCATGAAGAAACCGACGCCGCAGATGGGTCTACGTGTCCGTCGATCACCGTCACAAAGAAGGATAGAGCATTTGCAAAGGAACCCAGAAGCAGCCCTTCGCGCCGATTTCCGGTGAACTCTCCGGGACCAAAGTTACGGATTATGAACTCTCCGAGAGTTTCGAGCAAGAGATTTGGTCAGGTTGGACGCCGGAAAAGTGGGTCGGCGGCGGCGAAGAGAAGTTTGACCGAAAGCCTGGCAATCGTAAAGTCAACGAACGATCCACAGAGGGATTTCAGAGAATCAATGGTGGAGATGATTGTGGAGAACAAAATCAGGGCGTCCAATGAATTGGAAGATCTCCTTGCATGCTATCTCTCTCTGAACACCGACGAGTATCACGACATTATCATCAAAGTTTTCAAGCAAATCTGGTTCGACATGACGGAGATTGGAGTCCACTAGTTTGGTCGCATCATAAAATCAGCATCTTCGCGTTTCCTCTTCAGTTCCTAATACTTCATAGTCAAATACAATCCAGGAGCTTGTAATGAAGTTATTAAATAAAATGATACATATGCTGTCCTTAAATCATTCTAAGCTTCAAATAAACTCAATTATTGAATAGTAACATCCAAGCTCCTGGATTTTAAATATAAGTTGGAATTGAATGATTTGTGAACCGAATGAGTGCTGGAAAAGAAATAAAATAAAATAAAATAAAAAAGTTTGGAAGTTTCATTTGGAAAAAGTTGGTTGTAATTATTGGAAAGCAATTTGTTGCCCTTTATGTTATACCTGCCCGTCTCTGTGAACGCAAAAAATTCCATTTTCTTTTTAGAGATTAGAAATGGAAATGAATCTGCTCTTTTCTGTTTTCATTATTATATTTGTTTGGGCTTCCCAACCAATACGGTCACGTCACCTCACCTCTCTATTTTATCCGCACACTCGCAAATGATTTAAATAAACTCAACACTTACTTCATATCTTCATTCTCATTTCTATTTTCAACCCAGTTTTTAAACTTTTATAAATGGTTTAGGTTATATTTCCTCTTTTATGCTCCAAATCTAACTGTGGAATAAAAAACAAAAAACCAAAAGCAGATTTGGAGCATAAAAGAGGAAATATAACCTAAACCATTTATAAAAGTTTAAAAACTGGGTTGAAAATAGAAATGAGAATGAAGATATGAAGTAAGTGTTGAGTTTATTTAAATCATTTGCGAGTGTGCGGATAAAATAGAGAGGTGAGGTGACGTGACCGTATTGGTTGGGAAGCCCAAACAAATATAATAATGAAAACAGAAAAGAGCAGATTCATTTCCATTTCTAATCTCTAAAAAGAAAATGGAATTTTTTGCGTTCACAGAGACGGGCAGGTATAACATAAAGGGCAACAAATTGCTTTCCAATAATTACAACCAACTTTTTCCAAAAGCTTTCTCATTTATTTGATTTTGTCATTTTAGTCTGTGTTATGTTCGTATGGTTTGATTTTTTAAAATAATGCTGTCATTGATTTCCATAAATTGCTTGTCCGTATACACAAACAATCAAAAACCCATATAGTATTTCCAATTTTGAGGCGGATAATTAATTAAATATTTTTATTATATCCCATATTTACTAAAATTAATGTAACATTGATCACACATTCCCACCGACCTTCTAATTCCAATTTTTTTTTTCGTAGAAATTAAAATTCAAATGGTTAATTAATGAAATCTCTTAAAAAAGTTTGAGAATTACTCATTTCTTCCTCGATTATCGTGTATTGAAACGTTAACACGTTGCATTAAAAAATGAACACACTTTAAGATGCGTGAAAGAATATCAGGTCTTTGAGTATATATATATTTGTCTACGAAATGCATAAACGACAATAATCTGGGTGTGGTAGCGAAAAACAAATAAAAAACGTTGAATGAATCCAGGGGAGGGGGGAGGCAAAAATCTTGAAGGAAATCTGAGGTTGTGGGGTCTTGTGTATTTCGGTTTTATAATAACAATAAATCCGATTCTCATGCGCGCACGTCTCTGTTACAAAGATTTGGTGATTGTCAAAAGCGAAGCCGGGAGGGGAGAAGGCATCACTTTTACGTTAACCATTTTTTTATTTTTTTTATTTTTTTTTTTTTTATACACCCTCAACCCACTTCAACGGCTACACAAAAATAAATAAATATATAAACAATTTTCACCCACCTTCCATGGGTACTAACAATAATTTAAACTCCTTTAATACCTATTTTATTTTTTGAATATAAGCCAACACTTGAAAATATTATAGTGGAATTAAATTATTTAGAGTAATCCAAAATGAAATTTAACCCACTCCTATCATAATAGAAATTTAAAACTTGATAATAATGAAGGAAAAATGAAGCTGTTATTTGGCATATAATTTTTGCTATATCACAATCACTGTCATGATTAGTTGTTGGAGTTTGAAAAGCAGCCTTCGAAATGAGCTGAAAAGCAGGCTTCACTTAATAATGCAACCTTCAATTATGCACTTGCACATGCACAAGACATTGACTTCAATTCTGCAAAATCCAGCCTTCTTTTGTCATTAGATTCATATGGGTCCCTAACTTTGACAATTGAACCAAAGTGTTATCCTCTAATTGTAAAGGAAATAATATAAGTTAAACTAATCAAATCATCGGTTACAATTAATTGAGATTAGATATCTAATAATTCAATGCTACTAATGGAAAGAGTCTCAAAATCTGAATCCAAACAATAATGATAACAATTTAATCAGAAATTAGTATGTTTTCATACAAAAAGAATGGATGGTCGCATTAGTAGGAGTGGATTATGGTTGAACCGTAGGTATTGGACCATTGGTTGGTAAGTCAAATGCAAGTTGCTCGAATTCGTGGGTTTCATCACAGTGGATGGTATCAACTATTAGAAGGGAGTGGTTGAGGTGTGTGAATTTCACCCAAAAAACTTCCAACCAATTCTGATTAGTGATTACTAATACATCTTACAATAAAGTATATGAAAACATATTTTTGAATGAAAGCATATTATAAACTAAGATCTGCACCAGGATGTATTGTAATTTGAATGGAATTAAAATTTTAGAATAAAAGTAGATGACGACTATTTTCTGGAAATACCGAAATTAG